TCTCTTCGTCTCTCCCTTTTCCCGTATATCCCTCAGTCTTTCTCTTTCCCTCTCCCTTCGTCTCTCCCTCTGTTTGTTGCTCCTTTACTCGTCTCTCCCTCTTTCTTCGTCTATCTTACAGTATTCGTTCTTCTTTGTCTCATGCAGTCAGATAAGAAGATATGCATCATTATTACGAAATAATGTGTGTATGTATGTATGTATGTATGTATGTATATACTTTGGCACAGCAGCTCTTTCCGAGCTAAGGCCTACCAGAAGCGTCCCGGCCTGGTGTTAATAATCGATAATTTATTATGTAAACTAGTGTGGCTGCCAAAGCACATGCTTTCTCACATTGTTTGTAAATCCTCCGTAGCGTTATACTACTACATAAACCAACAAAAGTGTTTTCAAGCAGCAAATTATTTCTCCTCCTCCACACTCGGACTGAAATATTCAGTGTTAAAGTACACTCTTACAATTATGCCACAAAAGCGCCGCCTGGGCCGAACTCGTAAAAATGCATAAACAGGTGAATTCCTGACTCAACAATGAAAATATCCGTTAGAAACTCCCGAAGCCTCCAGTCCGTTCAGACCAATCAGAGAATATCAACTAAAGTAAATTAACTAAACAGTTTAGGCGCTACGGTGATTACAGACGAACGTTTTGCCATCAAATGATTTTTCAGTGTCAAAAAACAACTAGACATGGATTCTGGCTACGCCACAAGTTTGAGGAATTTTTCTAAATTTTTCAACAGGATATATCAACTTTTTCGTTACCCGAACCTGGCTATAAGGACCAAGGAATATCCGAAAATTCAACTAGCGACATCATTTTTACCGTCATTTATTACAAAAGTGAAAAATTTCAACAAACAATTTGGAGCGATTGTTGAGAAAAGTAATTTTCGCAACTTTCAGGCGCAACTTACTCAAAAACTATAAATTTAAGAAATGTATATAACCATTTTTAAAGAGCTAATTTTGTTCAACATACTCCACTTCCTTTATTTGTTGCGTCTATTCACGCAACGCGTCTCCTAGCTCCTAAGAGCGTTGAGCGCACCTTGGAGTAATCCTGCTTAATTATATACGCAGCACCGTCTAGGGTAGTCAAGCCACGTCAGTCGCAGTCAAGGCAGGGAATCGCCGGTAGGTAGCGTCTTCGCGCTCGCCCTGTGTCATTTACCTACCGACCAGAATTGGGAGGGTATGAGGATAGAGGATAAGATTTAGGTCGCTTCACAAGGGTTGGACAAGCCCCTGTCAACCATGCTAACTGGTTTTGTCGTAACAAATTTCACATGAGTTTCTACGGGAATCGAACCCGGAATTTCAGAGGAGGAAGACTAGCGACATCGCCACTGAGCCACGGAAGAGCATTGCGGATCTGGTCTCAAGATTGGAGATCAAGGTGTTGAAATTTTCAGTAAGAATATTCTGTTACTTTGAGATGCTTATGTTTGTAGCCATTGCCCAGTTATGTGCGTATCCAAATTTCGTTGTTGTTGTTTTTGGCATGTTGCCTATGTATAGACTGAAGAGCAGTAGTGCGAAAACCGATCCCTGACGTAAGCCGTTGTGCACCTTCATTATTTTGCCTTTTGAGTTACCCAGGATTACCGTGAAAATTCTGTTACTGATACTACAATTTAGTCCTCGAATAAGTTAAACTGAAAAATCTTTAAAAGTTAAAAATTCGAAAATCATATTCAGATACTTTCAGATCATTTATCTGTATTTATTGCATTTGTTAGTAAAAGTGCTTCAAATAATGTTCAATAAAGTTTCTCGAAAACTCATTAGTTAGCTTCAGAAAACCTGAAACGACAGTTTATTAAAATTGGTTCTCAATGCTTCAACAAACATTTGCATACAGGACAAGGTTTTATTTTTTTACTAAACATTTTATGCAGCCAACTGTCCGTTACTCTTTACGTCCCGATGGGACACACATTCGACCATACCAGAGACACCAGCACCCCTGCTGGCTCCTCACATCTGGGATCAGCAGTGAGCGAGGCCCTCCGCGACAACACATTCATGAGCGACAAGAGACAAACAATCACGTACAAGGTGGGACTAGAATCTTTGACCCTTCGGACTGTAGCGCTGAGTTAGCACTCACGGGAACACGCAATTAACTATCTCAGCTATCGAGGCCGGCCCGAGTGCTTGTCTTCTACAATATTGTTATAGTCTTATTTCAGTTGTACCATTAGGGTTCCGAAAGATGGAATCTGGAAAGAGTATAAGGCATAGCCGGAAAGCTAGTCCAGACTAAAGATATTAGAAATATACCTAGTGGGAGAAAGTCAGTGCCATTCTATAGCACCACTAATTTTAATTTCTCGAATACGTACATATATACGGAGTAGTATACGTAGTACAGAGAAAGTTTCGTAATGGTGCGCCAAACGATAGCGATTTTTTGACAGGAAAACTCGTATTGTGCGTCCTAGGAACAGAAAAGTAGATAAAACAACTAGTTTGGAGTAAATTACTCCCTCTAACACGTTATATAGTCAGATTTCAGAAATTGTGGGACCTTAATACCGAAAAAAGTGTTTTCTTTAAACGTCCGTCAGTCTTTTCGTCTAAACCATAGGTCGCACATAGGTCCATAAACACAACTATAGCCTAAACCATAGGTCGCATATATTCTAAAATGGATGTTCCCGTGTCGATTTGGTTCGATTAAAACCTTCATTAATTTTTGGGGTACCGTCATCACGGGCTACTTTGACCCTTAGGGCACTACTTGGACCCACGCGAAAAAAAAATATTTGCAGCGGTTGCAGTCGATTATACATTGCATTGACCAGTAGGTTTGCAATTGCTTCCGTGCGATGGCAACACAGTGCAGCATTAAACGCGTTTAGCATAATTCGCTGGTACACTCGTAAGTTACAGCAATCTATTAAGTGTCTGGGGTCGATATTGGCAGAATTTGTGCCTTGCAAACCTTACTCTTACATTGGATATATAGATATTTGACCAAGGGATCGGTTTACATTTAAATTTTGTACTGATATATTTTTAATAGAACGGTTACGATAACTTCGTCATTAGTAAAACGCCTTCCCCATTGCTTTCAGGTTTTCTAATTGTGAGCACATTATCTCAAAATCCGGGCTACTTCGGCTCACAGTGTGATCAACTAAGCAAACATTAAAAAAATTATGCGTTAATACTTTTATTTTGATATTTTAAACTTCAACAATGTCATCTGGTGTCTCAGAGCGAAGTTACTCGTCTTTTATCAAGGAGACCGCGTTTGATTCCCGTCGAATCCGGGATAATCTCATGTGAAATTTCTTAAAAAAAAACAACAACAACAGTTTGGCGCATAGTTGAAGGCACGTACGCGGAGATGCTACCTGGCTATCCTGCTCACAACTGACTAGGAGGAGACGTGACGATTATGACTATGATTATGATTAATGGAGGATTACTCCTGCGCAACTAATGGAGGATTGCGCAAAGCGCTCAACGCCCTCCTCCCCCAAGGGGTCTATATAGACGCAAGACATTTTAAAAACAAAGTTATTTTCTCTTTCTTATACAGTAATCTGACGGTTATAGTACATAAATACAAAAGCGCGACCGCAAACGATATATGCGGATGATAAGAACCATCAGCTTGAGGAATGTTTGGCAGCAGTTGTTGGGAATATCACAAACACAAGCTGAAGCTTCCTTTATCGTCGATCGACCTATTAGTCGATCGACTATAAAGAGGGGACTGAAGAACAAAAACCGTTCAGAAACCGGGCCATCCAAAAATGTTTACTTAAGACGAACAATTAGTATTTGCAAGACACTATGACCAATCAGTAATTCCAGATTTCATGTTGATGATTTGTTGTGAAGTCTTACTTATCTATGGGTGGCAGAACAGTTACTGTTTTCGAAGATAATCTCCCAGGGAATAGGTGAAATTATTTTTTAGGCATCCACAGTTACCGATACACAATTGGATAATAAAACTTCTACTTCAGCTATGAAAGTTATCTGTGTTTGTAGTATATTTATATTCATGTTTGTACAAGAAAACTTAACAACACATGCAGTGCAACCAGTGCAAATCTCAGTGGTTTTATTTTCTAAAACACCGCGAGGGGTTCAAGTAGTCCAGACAACAGTGTAACTTGAACCCAATTGTCAAAACAAAAAAAAATGTGTTAAATATATCTTATCAAAATTCTCTCGAGCATTTCACATTCAACCTGTAGATCTAAAGAATATATTATAAAAATGTTGTTTTAGGTTTTCAACGATTATTAAAGGATAATAACTTTTTTAAAACTATCTCTCATGCCATTGATGTGCAAATTTCTATATAAGACGAGATTTTACTCTTCTATAATATTCTTAGAGCTATATTTCGGTTCCACCATTAGGAAACCAAAAAATTGAGAAAATTTCAAGAAAATATACTTTGAGCGACGATAAAATTGCAGCTGGCAACAGGATGAGGCAAGACTCAGAGCGAAGAAATTAGAAAGGTAACTAGTGCGAGAAAGTCTTTGACATTAGTTACACAGTTCCACACCACTCGTTCTACAGGTATTAGCAACTGGATTTATCCACTTTTTTGTTACCAGGGCCCGACAGAGATTTTGTTCCGAAAATTCGCCGTTTTCCAGTGCGCGATTACATAACTTTCTCTCCTTTCGAAGTTCCTTCGTAGAGGCGAGAAAGTAAAACCAAAAAACAAAAACATATTGTGTCTCTCGTTCTTTTCACTACGACGAAGATACTACACAATGAGAGACAGTGAAGTTAATCTTACATTTACCAACCATGGGCAAGAAGTGTTATTAGTTTTTATCACTACATCGGAAGATATTTGATCTCTGAAGTTTACTTGACAAACCTTAGAGATAAACATTTTTAGAGATACACGTTTTGTGTATATGGTTATAAATGATGGGTCTTCACACATCGTCTCTCATTGTGTAGTAGGCACTGCACTGCTATTTTGATAAAACTGAAGACATATTGTTTCAGGTTAGTTGTGTTTGTTATTGTGATTACACAAGAATCTGTGAAAAGAAATATTACCTCCACTCCCACAATGAGTGCAAAGAAGAAGCACATCTTTGGAGAAAGAGAAGTAATAAAGAGTGAAGATACGCTGACACGTGAAGATATGATGAAAAGAGTGATTTTTTCTCAAGCTCATAAGGAAATAAAGTTTGTAACTTTGCGTAACATTCAAATGTAAACATTTTCCTTACAGGCTATCATATTGTTTAATTTTAAAATAAATGCAATTTTTAGGACTGAAGATCTGGTCCCAACACATGTCGTACACTCAAGAGTAACTGATGCTATTGCAAAGCGAGAAGCGGCAGAAAATGTGTCTGAACCTGAACCTCTTGTAAGACCTAACACATTAACTTAAAAATATACATATTTCGAGTGACAAATAATTTACCTTTAATTGACCTGTAAGAAGTTGAGGATTTAACAGGATACCATTTAATAGTTACTGCCTGGGTCCCTTAGGCAAATGTCCTAATAGTTATTTCGGCAGTTTTATATTATTTGGACGAAATTGATTTAACTTTATGTACTTGGAACTTTTAGGAACATTGTTTTCATTTACAATTCTTATGAATTAGTTCAAAAAATAAAATTATTTTTTTAATTGCTTTGCCACATATTTAATATTTCAAAAGTTGTTACAGTTTTTTGAGACATCATGGTATCCGAATACAAAGTGTGGTAATGTCAATTATTGTATATACATTTTAATTATTTGCCATTGAAAAATAACACGATGTTACATATTATTTCTAAATACTGGATGTTATAATTAAGGGGAGTAAAATGTTTAAAATTGTTTGATATTTTGGCAACGTACGACGTTTTTATTTTATATATATCTCAGGATATTTTAATTATAAAACGTGTTTTTAATGGATGACATGCAAACAACTAGTATATCTGTTCCTCACACCTCTTTGAAGCACACAATTGTTTTGTCTTGTGCCGTTGTGTTTCTATTGTGTATGATATTGTCGAGAAATGGGTATATGACGTGCCCTCTTCATGATGAACGATTTGCTTCGTCGTTTACAATTAATATTATAACTTACAACTTGTATCTTCACTCTTACTCGGTACATTTACAGGTTTTTTATTTTAAAATAATTCTGGAGTAAGTGATTTAGAGTATATTTTGATTTATTTTTTATTTTTCTATTGTATTTTGCTATTTTGTATTACAGAGGTACAGTGTATTCTAACTTGTTCGGTTTTCTTTGTAGTATATACAGCGTATTTATTACTTGCTCAGGAGAACACGGAGTGTATTTGAGTTTATAGATTGAACTGTTATTATTTTTTTGTTTTTTGTACTATGAAGAAATAAAAATTGCCTTTAGTCTAGTCGCCAACAACGAAAAAGGAAAGGCTTACCTGAAAAAACGATCATAATACCTTGTATCTGGATATATTTAATGTACCCTGTGCTAAATCCGGGAAGTCCCAAAAATCGGTATTCTTTTGACATTTTCAGTCCCCCTATAGTTCTGCACGTCATCTTATGTCTCGTAAGTCCTGTAAAACTCTTTGAAATAATTTTTAATGACACTAAAATTTACTACAACTTTTGTTTGAAACATTTTCCTGAACTTGACATTGAGCAAGCTATAGTATTTAAAATCTAAACTCAGAGGTAGGAGCCGTCTGGCCCCCTGCTTTACTGGAACCTGATCTATCTCCTGCGTATTATATTTTCAGTTGTTGAAACCTTTCTTCTGAACGCAGTGAATGTTTCTTCATACTTTTAAATTTGAATTTTTAAAAAATGTATGTTCCAGTTGTCTGTTTATAATAATACAAAAGAGCAAAAAAATAATACAAAAGAGCAAAATATAATGTAATTTATAGTTAGTATTTGGAGAAATATAATTCAAAGATTTTCAGTAATAAGTTGACGAAAGTTTTGTACAAATTTAGACCGACACAAAGGCTAGGATTTCATTTAACTATAGATGCGGAGAGTACAATGAGAATTGCATTAGCTTCAAGCAAAAGGTTCGATAAAACTTTTTTCAATAAATTGTACATGACCCATAAATATCTAATTTTTTAGAACTGATTTCATTTAAAAATATTGTGCTGCTGCAACATCACATACGTTCTCGTATTATTTATAACGACTAAGCAATATTGTAACTAGTGATGCTAGAGAATGGCACAAACTACCGGGTCTTTATTATATCTTGCAACTCATGTTTGGAGCACCTGCTTCTGTTTTCAAAATCCTGCATTCAAGGTAATTGTGTCAATACAATATCAAAAATCTGTAACTCACTTGCTTTTGTAAATAGTTTTTATTACACGGAAGGGGATATTTTCTTAACAGTTTTTGCAAGTAAAGCATGTTGCCGCCTGAATTCATAATACAACTTAATGTATGTATATGTAGGGATACCATGTGCACAAAATACACTTCCTACCCATAGTACGTCACACAGTATTTAACCGGACGTGAAATAAAAAAAATGTAAATAAATAAAAAGGAAGGAAAATCCTACCTTGATAGATGTAATTATCTCTGAAAACTAGTGGTGCTAAAACAGCACGTACTTTCTCTCCCGCATTTTCACGTAAAATTACGCGAAAAGTACTAAAATTTTCGAAATGTTGTACATTACCCTATTTTAAAATACATTTATAAGAAATAGAATTCATTAAGCGAAATAATCTCTGTCTTTGAGGGAGACTTCGAAAACATTTTGGACTTTTGCAATTTTTGAAAAATCAGTTTTTCCAAAAACATCAGATCTATACCATTCTCTTAAATGTTTTTCACATTATCCAACCAGAAAAACGATGTAGCCAAGGGATATGTTTTCAATTAGATTTGGTGTGAATTTTCATTTTAAGTATTGCGATGTGATCGCGTTGTGCTCATCGTCGACGCGATACTTGCGGCGTCACGCCTACCCCGACCGGAGGGCCTCGACCACCCTTATGCCACGCACATATTCTTGGCTGGCCAAGGGCCGAGAAGGCCATAGAACCAAGCCGAATTTGTCACGGCAACACTCTTTGTTAGCATGAGGCCTCCCTGGGGCACTCTCCTTCAGAGCCAAAGAATGTCAGCCAACCCCTTACACCCCTGGCTCTGCGAGATGGACATTTAGGCGCTGTGAAGCGCCAGATTAACGTACTTCTATTGCTCAGGGCCCCTTTAATTCATCTGGTCGCGAATTGCCTTGTCCACAGTACCAAAATGCAGCAAACGTTCCCCTCCTCCTCCTCGACAGCGGCGAGAAAACAGTAACACCCAATTAAAACCTTGAAACAAAAAGGCCACCATGGTAAGGATTGCTTCCGACCAATAAACAACCAATCAGCAGGAGAACGTTCCAGAAAATGCGCACATAAGATAGCCTGTTCGCGCGTGATCGGGCAATGACGCACCCGAAAGGAGCAGAGGGCGAAGTGGCCGCGCGGACGAGAATCAGACACGCGAGTTTAACATTAACAGATCAGAGACAAGGGAGAGATTGAGAGACTAGCTAAACATCCACTAGCCGACACACGGTAAAGTCTTCTTTTCGACTTCAGCATCTTCTTTTCGACTTCTCCGCCGGCACGCAACTTCTCGGCTCATCTGCCAATTCACTCCAACGTGAGCAAATTTAAGTAGAATCCAATTGAACCGTATGTGGCAGACCAATTTTAACTGACTTCACCCTGAATTTTTCTCCGTTTCGCGGACGCAAAGAACCACGCGAAAAGCACCTGCAAAGGTGCGCTGCCCGTTATGACGTGCAGCTTTACGCGGGAAGGTGGCGTGTGACGGGCTTAACCTCCACTGACATCGCCACGAGGGAGGCACTTGGACGCGGAGACCGGCGCAGGCCGCTGACTGGCGCCCACACCTGCATGACTCGAGGCCGCATCCCATTCTGGGTGGGCGCTTGCCTCCATCCCCGGGGCACTGCAAGCGTGAACAACCCGAGCAGCAAACACAGCGACGGACTAGGCATGCAATTCTCACAAGCGAGACAACTCCGTCAAGTCATTATAGGCCCCTGCCTATCATTCAGAAATTGTCATTTTTCTGGACAGAGGGGAACTTTCATATAATTTTTGGCAGTCCAGTACAAAATATTATTTAATTTAAAATATATCTGTGTACACCACTTCAATCGGCGACGATTAATCAATTCAACCAACACATTATTTAACAGATAGAAAGCATGCGCATCTCCCCTGCGCAGTAAGGTCGACACTCAGTGGGACCCCCTGGTGATTCATCACATATTCTGGCGCTTACGTGAAAAATCACAATATAAATATCAATGAAGACGTATTAGAAAAGTGTATTAGGGAAATAACGTTAAGCTTGCGTTTGATTAAAATGGTACGCGATTAACAAGGCTAGGGATGTTGAAGTGGAATATACAGGTATTAACTGTCATTTATTTATCATCATAAATAGTTATACTAATATTTAAAAAAAATATGACAATTATGAGTACCTGGAAACAGGGTAGAAAACAGAGGGACTTTAAATATTTATTCTTCATCCGTATACTACATATAATTGTATAAAGTGTGTTAATTATTTCAGAACCGAGAATCTGTATAGAAACTCTTGTCCAACCCTCAAACAAATTTTATCAGGACGGATCGATCTCGGAATTAAAAAAAAAGCAATTCTCAGGTTAATAAGTCAATAAAATATCGAAGAATAAAGTTAGTGTATTAGTGTTAATATAATTGCCGAGTAGTACAAGGAAAATGAACTAAAAATTATTTCTCGATATATGCTTTATGGAGAACATTCCACTTTTTTTTACCTTATACGTATACGTATACATGGAAAATAGGTGAAATGGTGCGAAAAATCGATTTCGAGATTTCAACAAAAATACACGTTTTATGGTCCCCTGATACTGCACAAGTGGTTCTTTAAAAATTTTCGTCTGTCCGTCCGTCCGTCTGTCCGTCCGTCCGTCCGTCTGTCCGTCCACCTGTCTGTCCGTCCGTCTGTCCGTCCGTCCGTCCATCTGTCCGTCCACTCGTCCATCGTCTGTCGGTCCGTCTGTCCGTCCGCCTGTCCGTCCTCCTGGCGGTCCGTCTGTCCGTCCGCCTGTCCGACCGTCCGTCTGTGTCCATCCGTCCGTCCGTCTGTCCGTGCGTTCGTCCATCTGTCCGTTCATCTGTCCGTCCGTCCGACTGTCCGTCCATCTGTCCGTCCGTCTGTCCGTCCGTATATCCGTCCGTCTGTCCGTCCGTCTGTACGTCCGTCTGTCCGTTTGTCCGTCCGTCTGCCCGTCCATCCGTCGGTCCGTCTGCCCGTCCGTTTGCCCGTCCGTCCGTCTGTCTGTCCGTCCGTCTGTCTGTCCGACCGTCTATCCGTCCGTCTGTCAATCCGCCAGTCTGTCTGCCCGTCTGTCATTCTGCTTATCCGTCCATCCGTCGGTCCGTCTGTCTGTCCGTCTGTCCGTCAGTCTGCCCGTCCGTCTGTCCGTCCGTCTGTCCGTCCATCCGTCGGTCCGCCGTGCGACCGTCTGTCTGTCCGTCCGTCCGCCTGTCTGTCTGTTCGTCC